AGATAGATAGATAGATAGATAGATAGATAGATAGATAGATAGATAGATAGATAGAGATAGATAGATAGATAGATAGATAGATAGATAGATAGATAGATAGATAGATAGATAGATAGATAGATAGATAGATAGATAGATAGATAGATAGATAGATAGAGATAGATTAGATAGATAGATAGATAGATAGATAAGATAGATAGTAGATAGATCGATAGATAGATAGATAGATGATAGATAGATAGATAGATAGAAGATAGCTTAGATAATTAGATAGATATGATTAGTCGATAGCTAATAGATAGATAGATACGATAGAATAGATAGATAGATAGATAGATAGATAGATAGATAGATAGATAGATAGATAGATAGATATGATTAGTATAGATAGATAGATAGATAGATAAGATCAGCTAGATAGATAGATAGATAGATAGATAGATAGATAGATATTTTTTTTTATAGGATAGATAGATAGAATAGATCGATTAGATAGATAGATAGATAGATAGATAGATAGATAGATAGATAGATAGATAGATAGAATAGATAGATAGAAGATAGATAGATAGATAGATAGATAGATAGATAGAATAGATAGATAGATAGATAGATAGATAGATAGATAGATAGATAGATAGATAGATAGATAGATAGATAGTAGATAGATAGATAGATAGATAGATAGATAGATAGATAGATAGATAGATAGATAGATAGATAGATAGATAGATAGATAGATAGATAGATAGATAGATAGATAGATAGATAGATAGATAGATAGATAGATAGATAGATAGATAGATAAGATAGATAGATAGATAGATCGATAGATAGATAGATAGATAGATAGATAGATAGATAGATAGATTAGAGATAGATAGATAGATAGATAGATAGATAGATAGATAAGATAGATAGATAGATAGATAGATAGATAGATAGATAGATAGATATAGATAGATAGATAGATAGATAGATAGATAGATAGATAGATAGATAGATAGATAGATAGATAGATAGATAGATAGAAGATAGATAGATAGATAGATAGATAGATAGATAGATAGATAGATAGATAGATAGATAGATAGATAGATAGATAGATAGATAGATTAGAGAGATAGAAGATAGATAGATAGATAGATAGATAGATAGATAGATAGATAGATAGATAGATAGAAGATAGCTAGATAGATAGATAGATAGATAGATAGATAGATAGATATAGATAGGTAGATAGATAGATAGATAGATAGATAGAGAGATAGATAGATAGATAGATAGATAGAGTAGATAGATAGATAGATAGATAGATAGATAGATAGATAGATAGATAGATAGATAGAGTAGATAGATAGATAGATAGATAGATAGATAGATAGATAGATAGATAGATAGATAGATAGATAGATAGATAGATAGATAGATAGATAGATAGATAGATAGATAGATAGATAGATAGATAGATAGATAGATAGATAGATAGATAGATAGATAGAGAGATAGATAGATAGATAGATAGATAGAGAGATAGAGAGATAGAGATAGATAGATAGAGAGAGATAGATAGAGAGAGAGAGATAGATAGATAGAGAGAGATAGAGAGATAGATAGATAGTTATAGATAGATCGATAGAGAGAGATAGACAGATAGATAGATAGTTATAGATAGATCGATCGATAGATAGATAGAGAGAGAGATAGATAGATAGAGAGAGATAGATAGATAGAGAGAGAGATAGACAGATAGATAGTGTAACATCTTGGAGAATACAACATCTTGGATGACTGAGCTCACGTTGAGGACGTAATGCATGTTTGCAGGTTACGTGCCAGTTGAATAAAGATGGACACTCGGAAAGTAGTCCGCGTCATCTGTTTATGTAGACAATTATATGTCCATAGAACAGAACATTACAGATAGATCGATAGATAGTTATAGATAGATAGAGTGAGAGATAGAGAGATTTGTACCTAAACAAAACACAAGTCTAACACCAAGCGGTTAAATCAGCACTGGTAGCGATATTTTATACTTCATGCTATCTGCACAACCTATATCATATGAAAAGCTGAGAGTCCACAGATTCTATTGGTATAAGTTTCATCCCTGTGCGATCAAAACTCACTGTTCTGTATGATAAATAAAAGAACATTGTACCTTGAAAATCAATAGCGGGTAAATGTGACCCGTTGGCGGTTTTAGGTATACAGCGACCTCTGGCGGTTCTAGTGTTAATGTCTTACTCCATTTCACTGTTTCCACCTCCTATCCCGTTATAGGAGATAATAAACGTTTTATAGAGCTCCAAATCAGCCATCTACAGTCCGCTGAGCTAATACCCAGAAAGACGCAGGTACTGAGTCTTTTCCATGACTGGGGATATTGCATCACTGAAAACACAGACGCAAAAACAGGAAAAATCTGTTCTCCTTTTCCGGCCGAAGAGTTGAGGAAAACGACAGAAAGCAGCAGAGGGAGGATATGAGGGCATCTCTCCCTGTGATATTGTTGATTGTTGTAGTCTCCTCCTGAACAATTACTATTATTCACTGTGCTGGCAGGTGCTTTCTTTGTAAGCTCAGGAAGAGTTGACGACTGTGATATTCTGGAGTGGGACTACATCAGGGTTTCTTGAACTTCTTTTGTAAAAAGATCTCTTGCATAATAAATTAAAAAAACTCACAGATATACAAATTGCATCCAAATCAGGATGAAAGTTATAGGGCTGTGTCCTACAGAATATTTTGAAGCTTTATTCATACTGTTGGCAATCTAATTATCATCCTTTAAGAGCTTAGTGTCGATATAGCTTATACATATCTAACCCTAAACTTTGCGTGTAGTAGATTACCTTTTTTCCTTCTCCCTCTCCCAAATTCCCAAATACTTAAAGCGAGAGCTGTGGCGCATCTTATCCTTATATTGTTTTTATCCAACAACTGATTCTGCTTCAATCCATATTAGTTGGCGTTTAGCCTTCCAAAAACAAAGTTTCCCCTACATTTCATTGTTTTGCCAACACAGCAAAACATTTTGTTTAATTAATAATGTGTGGTTTTCAAAATTGAATTAACTCAAATGTGGCTTGCCTCCCCCTAATTTAAAATCTCACATTTTTTATTTCTTAAACTTATTGTTATTATTCTTGTGTGAAATCATATCTCCCCTATCCTGTGTTTCAACCTTGTTGCTGCAGTCCCGGGGTTCAATAAAGGTTTATCTTATCTTATAAGATAAAGAGAACAACACATCTATGTTTTTTTCTACTATGCTTGCAGGTTGTTTGCCTCAAACACTTTTTGAATTTTAAAATAAAAAATGAGATTTGATCAACTACTTGAACCGCTCCTTAATAGTCTGGACTAGAGTATGACGCTGTATTAGAACCACAAGTGTTCTGACTCCCAGAGGTTTCCAACTAACTAAAACAGGGTTAATCACTTGTTTTTCTCATTTATTTTCCCCCATGCTTCATTGCGGGATGGTTTCACTCATCAGAGATTACTTTGAAAGGGTCAAGGTTTGTGAGGAGTGTGGAGGAGGAAGGACAATAAGAGACTCGCAGCCGTCTTGTATTTTTTCCTGCTGCGGGACGCTCCCAGCAGCCCATCTGTTCTGACAGGAAGTGCAGAGCAGGCCGTGCTGACGTCAATCAGGCTGAAGAACCAGTGCAGCAGGAACCAATACCCCGCCTTCCTCCTCCCTTTCTCTCTTTCTTTCTCTCTGCAGGTGCTTTCCCTCCTTCTTCTCTACCTGACCTACATGAATCTCTCTACATGGTTCTCACCCTCCTTCTCTCCTTTTGCCCGTCAGTGCATGGGAATTTTTGTATTGTTATCGAGTCACAATTTCCAGATAATGAACTCAAGATTACAAGGTTTCTATTTGCACATGTACAAATGCTCAGAGATAACACTGTTTTACTGGCAGAGTAAACATCTATAACTGTATTCCCGTTGAAAAGCTCATATTAAGCGATGACAAACATACCCAAAGCCCCTGTGTGCTGATAAGAATATATGACACATGATGATCACACACAGGCTCCAAACACACACATGCACACATAGGACAAATGCATTAATGGAGCGGTGTCAGAGTGAGGGGACTCCCATGGTTAGGCGCCATGAGCAGTTGAGGGTTTGGTGCCTTGCTCAAGGACACCTAGGCAGCTACTAGTCCGCAATCTGTAATTGGTCCTATCAGGACTTGAACCGCTGACACTACGACTCCTAAACCAAGTCCCTTTAGATGCTGTTTTTGTCGCCCCCAATTAAGAATTAAAGGGGCCTATTATGCTTTTTGTTTTCCATTTCCTGTAGTATGTTATAGGTAATATGTAGATGGTCTGCAAAGGCTCCAGAGGGAGTTGTGAAAATACACAGCCGGAAAAGATCTGCTACTTCCTTACAGAGCCCCTCCTCCAACACACACGAACGTGCACACGACCAATGAGGGCACGAGATAAGTTTGTGCACAGATGGAAGGCTGACAGGCATGTAGGCCATCCAGTTATTTTAGCCGGGCCGGCTCAAATGATTGGTCGTGCTTTTTACAGTACTACGGCTTCCACAGATGACATTTATTTATGGATTTTTTGTCAAAGCACTTAAGATATTCATTGCTATCGGGATGTTAAGAGCATTCCATGGAATATAACAAAAAGTGTATCTCGAGCCGGTTTCTCAAACTTACCTACCCTACCTTTAATGATACAGCAACAACACATTCTGTTGTATCATTGTTTGTTTTCTCCCTTATGTACGTTATTATGTCTGGTATGTAAATGTGTAATATGTGGTTGTTGGTGTTTTGAGTATAAAAAAAATTGAAACTTGCTGAATACGGTTTTTCATCTTTTTTGGCATTTAGTTAACAACTGTGCAGATTGTAGCCATATGCAATTCAAATCTCACAGTTTTGTATCCTTAACTTGACATTTGACACAGAATTGGATTGCATTTGCTTCTAGCAGGCTTATGATGAGACTCACCTGACAAACAGACTTTGGCAAAAGAAGGCTGATTTGCTGCTGGAGACCTCCTGCAACCAGAGAAAAAGATCAGGAGCCATGACATGAAAAAATGGCCGCATAATTATAATTTTTTTTTATCAGAGTGTGATTTGGTTGAAGCAGCAGTCATTGTTGCCTTTGAACAAACACAAAACAGATTCTGCGTCGGTTCTCAGAATTGGACGTAGGACAGATTTTCTACCATGTGATATTGTCATGGCTGATTCCGTTTTGGCTCACTGTGACCTCTGCTTACCTGTTTCTTTTTCTGAGGTCGTACTGACTCTCTGTCCACCTCTGGCTGACTGCCTGACGCAACTGCAGCCACTGACCTGCTTCAGTGATCAGAGGGAGCCTTCATGCACTCAAATGAGAGGAGGTTGCCCTCTTGTTTTAACCAAAAAGTAATTAAAATGTGACTCTATGCTGCTGCACACCAGCCTTCACATTTAAAAATCCCTCCTGATGTCTGAATCTAACATTTATTTGAGTTCTTCCTTCTTGACATAATAGCACTACAAATGTTTTTGGTGCATTGGCGCCCCCAAGTGTGGCGATTGGCATCTTTAAATGTACATGTTCCTGAAAGCTAAAATCCAACTTCAGACTTTTAACAAAATCCTTCCTTGCCAGGAATTTCAGCTCACATAATACAGAAAAAACAGATACAGCAGATACTTTGAATGAAATGTGATAACTTACTTATTGGATACACATTGTACATTTGTCAAGGTGGTGAAGTTGTTCCTGACAGTCCGGAGGCTTGCCAAAACCTAAAAATCAAAAATGGGAAAAAGTGATGAAAAGAACAGCACACATGGCTAAGGTGGATGAAAGTATGATGAATATCAACATGAAAAGTAAAAAGGAATATAGAAATATTTGAAGATTGCAATTTTACACTCAAAGGTGGCTTGAAAATAGTTTACTAAATTATTATTTCTCTTGAAAACACTCGCTAAGTATTTTAGTTTTCATTGAAATACAGCTGATTATTTAGAGCAGGGGTCTCCAACACGTCGATCGCGAGCTACCGGTAGCTCGCAAGCCCTTAATAAGTAGCTCGCCAAGCAAATCCAAAATGTAAAAAAGGAAATGTAATTAAAAGAATCTACCCTATGCATAAACGAAACCTCAATCATAGCGAACTCTATCTACTTACTACAACTCTATCTATCTATCATCCCTCCTCCCCCCACCCCCCACAATGAATATCGACCAATCACGTTCTTGCTTCATAAGGAGCAATAAGCTCACCGCTTCATAAGGAGTGTGACCGTGATTTTCCTTCTGGCAGAATCTACACAACACATCAGCCCCATTGAACAGCCTAGTCATGCCAGCCTATACAGCACATGAGGGGCAGAGTTTTACTCTGTGTGTGTTGCAACTTGCATATATATTTATTGCACTTGATGCACACACACGCATGGCGTAATTTCCACTGGGGACAGGGGGGACATATCCCCCCCACTTTTCGAAATCCCGTTTGTGTCCCCCCACTTTACAAATATGTTTATTATTTTTATTTTAACGCAAGCCGTCATCGCCACGGAGGAGCACACAGCCTCTGTGAGCGAGCGAGACAGAGGGAGAGAGCGAGAGCACACCTTTATCTATTTAATATAGTTGTAAAAAATAAAGTAAGAAATCATTCCAATGTGTATAGGACAGTAAAAAAAACAAAAAACAGTTTAAAAGGGGAGTGATTAGTAAAATATGCATAAATGAAAAGAAAGAATGCTAACTAGGTAACATAAGATAAGAATAAACAAGTTTAAATGATTTGTTATTGGTTGTGATCATATTCTAAAGATGTTTGGATTATTGAAAAGTATACAGCTCCCTTTCATCTGAGTGTTGAGAGCTGTATCCATCAATTCATGTTGTGCTCAAAGTGCACCAGATTGATGCATTTCACTTCAACATTTAAAAAAACATCTTCCCAGGGGTGCATGCCCCCGGACCCCCCTAGAGGAGGTGAGGTCCCCCCTAGAGGAGGTGAGGTCCCCCCTACAGGATGTGAGGTCCACAAATAAAGCAGGTTAAAATAATTAAATTGCATACTTTTTCTTTTAGTAAACACTGAAAACGGGTCCCACAGACCCAAACAGCACACAAAGGTTAAAGGTCAGCATATCATAATGTTAAAATGTGCTAAATATATACACTGCAAAAAAGAGGAGTAAAAGTAGCTCACGACTTTATTTTTTGAAAATAGCTCTCATCCTAAAAAGGTTTGGAGACCCCTGATTTAGAGTGATTGGCTAATTGTTGTGACTAAGCCATTTCAAATGATTAGTTAGAGTGCCGTGTCTGCAGCTCTCAATGATGAATGGAACTCATCCATCAGACCCGTAACAGCACAAATGACTTCTTTACCCTTAGGAATGACTCTGCTCTAAATGTAACAAGGTAAAACACTGCACCTTATGAACAGCTGCAGTATTTAACTATTATATTCAAAGTTTCAATGATCATGTGACAATAATGACTGTTTGAGCTTATTACAAGTATCAAAGCAGTTCTAGACAGGAACAATGAAACTACAGTTTAGGTTGTTTAATGTGAGATACGACAGGCAAAATATACTTTTTGAATGAACTTTTTGAATGTGGATCTTCTTTGAGACTAATGGAAAGATAAACATCTAAAATATCATTCATGTGTTTATTTAACTAAAGTTTTCTATTCTTTTCTGTAGATTTCTCCTAAATGGACCAAAAGTAAGCATTAAATAATGTGCAATAACATTTCAGAAAATGTGTAACAAAAAAACGTGTCTTAATGTTAGTAATCAACTAGGGCAAGTTGATGGGGTTAGGTATTTTATGTTACCCTTTTTACCTGTAGTCTCTTGGAATACATAATACATTATATCGATCTTAAATAGTTAAAAGGTAGTCTTTTTCTGAAGGTTTTACAGAGGGCGTTGTTCCTATATCATGATCAAAGCCTGATTTATATCACATGATATGACCAGGTATATTATTTTTCTCTCTGTAAGATTCTGACTCTAAAATGTCAACAAAATAAAGTTTCCTGTTGAAATCAAACAGTTTAATCCTTTTACCCCATTTAGTGTCTTGGAAGATGTATGGAAAGATTTAACATGTCATGCATAGACTTATTTATATACTATTATATTCCTAAAAACATGACAATAGTGTTTTTGAATAAATGGCTGGTCACAGTATTTGTTGATTTATAGAAAGATACAAAGGGATTTGCTAAACTAGGTTTCGCACTGACATCTATTAGATACAAATGTCTCGGACTATTCACTAAATAAAAATATTGTAAAAGAAATTCCATGTCTACTGAAGTCCACTAGGGGGCAGAGAGGTTACTTAGGGCAAGTTATGGCGCATTTCCACTACAGCGCGGAGCGCGGTTGAAGCGTGCCGTGCCGTGCACGGCCCGTTTGTGGTTGCGTTTCCACTAGGCGTAGTACCGGCTAGCGGGTACTATTTCACAGTTTTTCTGGCCCCATAAAATCGAGGTTCTTTCCGGGCCAACAACCAGGCTGAGTCGGGCTGAGTTTGCTAAACTAGAGAGAGAATCGCTGGCAAGGGGGCTACAACTACAACAAGATGAACATATTTGACCGTGATTTAATTGTAATACACGTTTCAAAATGATGCCGAAGTAACAACATACTGATACCGGTTAGTAAAAACCATGAATTAATGCTTTGTCAAGTCTGCAGAAAAACCTTTTAAAATGCGTGTTTTCTAAATGGAGATTGGCTAAGCTAACAGTATATGCTCCGACCGTCCACACTCACAACAACGGCCTATACAGACATAAATAACCAGCGACTGTATTCACCATGACACAGGCAGTCTGTGGTTTGTACTTGTTTAACTTTTGTCTAGTTTCTGAACAGATATGAGGAGCTGTGAGCTTTAGTGCTAACAGCTAACGGCTGATGTTGGTTTTCTGGGGTTCTCATTGAAGATGACGTCACGGCTCCGCCTACACTGCGTTACTATAGTTACAGCCCCAGCTAGGGCTGTGCGATTATGGCAAAAATCATAATCACGATTATTTGGGTCAATAATTGATATCACGATTATTAAATACGATTTATTGAACTTTAAAACAAATACAAATAATAATTTGAACAGTATCTTTTTAAACTGTTGATTACCCTGAACGTATAATTCAACTAAAAAACCAATACAAAAATAAATAAAATAAATGATACATTTAAATAAATAATATCAAAATAATAAATACCAATAAACAAGATCAACAAATATTTTGGAGCGCACTTCCCCAAGCTACTAAACATATATAAATATGATAAATACAAATAAATGAGACCAAAATGAATTAGATCAAATATGTTTGCACTGTCACAACCTAGCAAAGCAAAATAATTGTTTTTTTCGATTATGTTGTTTTCGTAATTGTGGCAGGCCAAAATCGTAATTGCGATTAAAATACGATTAATTGCACAGCCCTAGCCCCAGCTACTAAACTGTAATGGAAACGCAGCATAAAGTGAGCCAGTCCTAACAAGGCCTAACAAGGCCTAACTATACCGTACTAAGCCGAGCGAGGCCCTGCAATGGAAATGCGCCATTAGTTTCTCCATTACCACGGTGCTTGTGTTTGCCAAAACAAGCTACTGAGCAAACATAATTAAAATGACTTTGATGCTTTTTTTCAACAGATTAATAAATAATCAGCTCTTACCTGAGCAAATGGGGTTACAATCAAGTCTTCTCCGTGCCTGAAATGTGATGGGAAAAACAATTAAAGTCTGACTGCAGTTGAACAGAGGGAATATTAAAACAGCAGTCTTACTCAATGATCGTTTCTACTCACAGTTCTCCAACAATGGAAGAGTTTCGAGACAAGGACTTGGGCGACAGGTCGTAGTCGCTGTCGGAGCGGTACAGGAAGGACTCTCGCCGCTGGCCGTGGCATGCCTGGTTGGGGTGGAGAACCAGCCCGGAGCCCGGGGACGCCTGGGGGTCTGAGGGGCTGCAGCACAATGACGGACCATTCTCACCTTCAAAACTAAGATAAGAAATAGGAAAAAGTTAAATAAGTACAGTTTGTATTTACATTTTTATTTTATGTATTTTTCAGGGTCAGTTTGCTAGTTTTAGTTGTTATATATTTAGTTCAGTTTTAAAATGTTTTGTTTTTATTTATTTACATACAACAACCATTATTTCATACAATGACATGTCATTTAGCGGACGCTTTTATCGAATGCAACTGAAATACATTATAATACTGCAGACATGCCTACGGGAGCAATAGGGATTAAGTATCATGCCTGAAGAGGTCGTCTTGATCAGATCAAACATTTTGATCTCCTTCAATCGTTCGAGACCTAAATGTATGTGTAAAAAAAATATATATATAAATGAAATAGAATAACCTGTTTTAAAACTAATTGTGTAACAAATTGTAGCATAGCGCCATCTCCTGGACTTTTGTAGTACAATTTCAGTCAATCGAGATTCATGGTGTCTCTTTTAATCTGTAGTCAATTTTTACAGGTAAAGCAATCAACATAAATCTATTTTTTTGTATTGCCGTTAGTGATTTTAACCAGGTAATAAAGTTTCAATTAAGTTTCTTGTTTTAATTGAGATCCAGCTCATTACCACTGCTCATTTTCATTAACATTAAAAACCCTGGTCTGATCCATCATCGATCATCTGCATTCTCAAATCATCATCATGCACTTCCTTAAAAAAGCTGCCTCTACCGTAAGTTCCGGCTTGACCAACGTGTTCACAAATCCCATCTGGGAAAGTGCTGGTTGCATAAACCCTAAAATGATTACTCACCCGTCCGTCCATGGCCTAAAACCAAACTATTGTGCTCATTAAATAAGTATGCTTTGCTGCTCCGTGTGAGTGGGGCTGTCTGTCTTTACTGTCTATGACGGATCCACTCATCCCCACTCAGGAGCAACAGGCCAGTAAACAGAGGGATTAACTCCTTATGGTATGACGTCAGGATATTTATATGATTTTTTTCATATTGACAGTCCACCCTTTGAAATTGAACTGTTGTATTGTCTATCTACTTGCAGAGGGAGTTTACATAGTAAGTATAGTTTAATCTAATCTTTAGTTTTTCCCTTTTCTTAACCCTGAACAAGTTGAACATATTGTTCTCACACTACCTCACGGCATTACAAATGTAATTTAAAATTGGTATAGTATTTTGATTAATCACAATTTTATGTGTTGCACTTCCTATGGACTGGAAGGACGAACATTTCTAATAAATAAAGTTGGATTAATTGTTTTGAATAAATCAAATAACAATAAGTCTACTAATGGACCATATAATCAAATAGTTTAAAGTGTAAGATAATGTTCAATGCTTGTCCCAGACCTTTAAAAAATAATACCCAATAGAAAAAAGGCAATTATAGAAACAAAAGAGAAAAGGACTGTGGAAGAAGTCCCAACATTGAACTTATCAAGATGGGAAAAAAGGCTCAGAGCAAAAGCAAACCAACAAGCAGCAGAATTTATACAAAATCTGCATTTTCATTTTTTTTTAAACACTACACAAAAATCCAAAGTCAATCTACCAATCATGTTTTCCTGCAGTATCACCCCCACAGACGGATGTAATACGTAGGAGGAGAGGAGGAGCTGATAGGCCACCAGATGATCAGGTCGGCTGGATCGGAGTTTAGAGTGAAAGGTCAGAGTATCACTGCGCCGCAGGAACAACAAATGCCGCAAATGATGAGACACTCTCGCTAATTCCCAAGGTTAATATAAGACATTTGATTTATGTAGCCCAGTTGCCGTAAAAAAGTGTCTGCAAAAAAATCCCATTTCATAGCTTTCATAAATACTCTGTTATCTAAAATCCATCTTGTAATGCAAGGACTGATCCAAAGGTCGCTTCACCATTTGCCCCACATTTAGCCGCCCATCCCCCATTCTGTTATTGCTGCAGCATGTGGGATTAACCAGGCACCGACCCAGAGAGACGCTCTCCGTCCCACACCTCTGCCAGAGAAACCCAGATTAATGGGGAATGTGCAAACTCCCAACTGATTACGCACAGACACAGCGACCAACGTCATCATAATCCCATTTTCATTCAATACTCATCCAGCAGAATGCTTCACCTACAGGGATCTGGGCTCGTAATCTGCCATAAGCAGGAAACCACAGTATGTCCATGACGCATCATTTGTGTCGATGCTGATCCTAGATATGGGAAAGTAGGGCCGTAAATAATTATTATTTTCATTAGAGATTCATCTGCAGATTACTTTCTAGATTCATTGATTGGTGTAGGAAATTGTTTCCCAATGACTCAACCCAAAGATATTCAGTTTAATATGATATAAACCAAAAAAGACACTTCTTTTAATTGAGTGGCTGACCACAGCATTTTTCTCTAATTTTATCATGAGGAATTCATTTTTTGCTCCTTTTTAGGAGCAATTTATTTTGCCAATGTGCTGTAAACGTTTGAATTTCACTTGGCAATTTATCAATGATGTAATCATTCTGAAAACCCTACTGTAGACACATATAGAAAGAAAAACAAAGATAGGACGGCTCATGATAGTCAAGGAGACATTCTAAATCTTTTGCTGTATGGTATTGGGAAAAATGTCCATCCCAGTTTCTCAAAGTCAAAATCTTAAAACAGAATCTCTCCATATTTGAGTTGCTGAAAACAATATTTTGTTGCCATTTTAAATGTTTTGAAATAGTTTTCGATAGTTCTTCTGCCAATCAACGAATACATTGGTCGACTAATCTACTGTAAAGCTCAAAGCATCACAATTAATAGTAATACAGCTCCCTTTTCCTCCATTTTGGTATCAGTCAGTTGAGCCAATATGCTGTTAAAGTTTGGATTTCATTTGGCAATCGATCAATGATGCAATCATTCTGAAACATCTGCAGTAGGCATGCACACACACACACACACACACACACACACACACACACACACACACACACACACACACACACACACCACACACACACACACACACACACACACACACACACACACACACACACACACACACACACACACACACACACACACACACACACACACACACACACACACACACCACACACACACACACACACAACCAACACACACACCACACACACACCACACACACACACACAGGAATAACAGAGGCTTGGCAGCCGCTGACGGGAAGATCTGGGCTGAAACACTCACAGTTGCTCTGTTTATCTGACCGTCTGTCCTTTTCCCCTCTATATTAAACCAGATTAGTAAAGCCTTCCTCATCCACTCCCGCCCACTCCCTTGGCTACTTATGATGACCTATAAAAGCACATGTGGTATAGATCATTTATTCTACTGCACAGTATTTAATTTCTCATTCAGTTTCCTTTTAATTCACATGGTTTACTTATTCCTGCATTTTACTTGCACCATTTTTTATTGTATATTTTACTTCCTTATTTATTTAAGTCTTAAGTATATTGTAAGTTGCACTTTTGGAGGAGACTGGGACTTTAGATTTGAATTGCTTTGGAGGATAGGCCAATAAAAGCCTTTGCATCTTTGACTCTTGAATATGCAAAAGTTAAAAAGGGAAAGGGGAGGATAAAAGTGGTTTGCTGATTTTCAATAGTTTCTCAACTTAGAAAATGTGTGCATACGGTGTAATATTAATCATCACTAAGCAGTATTGATTTTTACCGGGGGATATTATCATCTGTGTTTGCACTGCTTATAGTTTTCAGGTCACATCGCATCTACTTAAAATCACAATCTAAGCAAAAATAGACAATTGCTAGAAACTGGTTGACCTTCCTCTAATAAGAATGAAACAGCATTATCAGAAACACAGAGTACAGTGGGACAACTCATTCCTTATGTAGGTAAAGGATCAGGGCTGAGATGTCAGAAGAGGCTGTTAGTAGGGTAGAGGTGTGTTGGACAAGGTTCCCAAGGCAATCGCCAAAAACATTTTGAGAGAGATGCGAAATCCTCCTGGTAGAAAAGCCTTGCTTCAAGTGTTAAAGATTTGTGTGGATAATGAAGAAAAACTAAACATATTAATTGAATCATCATGAAACTTGCTTATTCATTTGTTTTTTGGAGGATTACTTTTCTGAAATTGAATGTTTACATTTGCAAAATAAATATGATTCATTTTGGATGCTCGCCATGAAGCACGATGTCGCTGTAAGTCCACTGGACACGGTCCGATCGTCCCCCAATCTTCACTTGTATATCACCGGTCCATGCCTCAACAGCTCTACGCCAAATCTGAGATCTCACCATATGCCGTTTCCATGGAAACGCATCCCTCGCCATAAAAGACGATGTCGCTATAACTCCTATGAAAATGTTCAAAAAGTGCTAAAACTTCACATGTGTGCTAACAGTCCAGCCGTGAAGACATCTACGGGACAGTTTTGAGATTTCTTCAAATGCCGTTGGCATGGCGACAGATCATTCACCATCAAGATAGTTCAAAGGTTTGCAGTACAAATATTCTGCTGCTTTTCCAAGCCTTTTTCCTCTCTTTTCTTCTCTCGTCACACATTCAAGCCCCCAGTGTTCATGTATCATTTCAATCTAAATTCTTCACTTTCTTCTTACACATTACTTTTCAGCATAAAGCATTCCCACTAGCAATTTCTTCAGGAATTGCATTCTCTAGTTGGATATGTTTTTCTTTACCTCCAATAATCTGAGAATACTGTAAACAATCATTAAAAAATACAATTATCGCTGAATTAGCCTCTCTGTAAAATTGGATCCAAAGAAGTACTAAATACTCAACTAAATACTCATTAGCCTTGAAAAGAAAGTTGAGGAATACATTTCTGCTCTTCTCAGCTTGTTCTTTTCAATGTTTTCACAATAACAACATTTCATGGTGAAATCATTTCATCGTCTTTCACACATTTCAACACAAAGAAGAGTGGGACAGCATTTGCCAGGAAAGCAGCACAATATTCTGGGTAAGAGGTTAAGAATTTGTTGTAAGGCATTACATAATCTACTATACATCTGTTCAC